AACTCCGAGGTCTGCGAACCCTCCCCTTCCCAAACGAGTTAACTCCTTCACAACGCAAGTGAATTCAAAGAGTACAATATGTGAACTGTGTTTGAAAGAGAGCAATCCAATCCGATTTTGCCCTCGGTTTCTCCAGCTGTCTATCCATGAACGAGAGGCATACATCAAAGCAAAGAATCTTTGCCTGAACTGCTTCGCTAAGGGTCACTAGTTACGAGAGTGTACCAGTACACACAACTGTTTCAAGTGCAATGGTCGACATAATACCCTACTCCATAGGGACAATACTCCTCGGACCGCTTCTGCATCAACAACAGCTATAGTTCCGACTCGTACTCAAGTTATGTCCAACGTCCACACGTTTCTGGCTGCCAACACGCGAGGTGTCCTCCTCGGCACGGGGTGTCCTCCCGCCCGTGCTTTAGTCGACTCAGGGTCCGCAGCAACCTTCATTTTTGAGCGACCATTCCGCAAAATCAAGTTCAAATCAAATCCGTGCGGACTCAAGTTTCCAGCATGAATCAATAAGTTACAGCTAATGGGAAATCAGGGTATATTGGTTTTGTTAAATGTATGTAACAGGCAGAAGGAGGTTTGGCAGACCCCATAAAGTATATATTTTTTTAGATCAGGGCGACGAGCTAAGTCGATTTACCCTTGTCCGTCTTTTCGTATGTTTGAACGCGTCGATCTCAGAAGATATAAAAGCTAGAGACTTCAATTTTTTTTCCTAAGCTTACGAGCATATCGAGTTTTTCTTCAAATATCGATAGCTTGTCACAATATTTTGTTATCGATTAAATATTATCGAAAACCAAAATAAATGTATATCTCCTACATCTTTAAAACTAGTCACCATATTTTTAATGTAGATTTATATGTACTTTTTAGAATTCCGAATTTTGTCAAAATTTACAACCCCCCCCCCCCCCCCCCTAATTCACCCTACCACCGACATATTTGTAAAAGGCGTATTTGACTTCTGCTTTAGCAAGTGCACGCATTTCATGCCATAGTAAGACACCACTGCAGCCAATGCGTGTTTATGCGTGCGTGTGCATTAATTGATCGGCTTCAGTCTCGAGCGGAGAATTCGAGATTCCCAGGAGATAATGGAACTTTTCCTTAATCAGCGACGTCTTCCGGCAACACAATACATATACATAGCGTCGATTTGCGGAGACCACCACTCACGTCGACAAGTATCGTGCGTCCAATTTGTAGTTTGAAAATGGTGTTTAATCTCAGCTGTTCCAGTTGGATAAAACTCGATGACTCGGACTTGCTCAAATTTTGTGACAACCAGGCAGCGTTTAACAGGTGCTGCGTGTACTAGTCCTCTCACTACTACATAAGCAGTATTCCTCTGTTTCCTCTGTGGCTTTGATATTGTACTGCTGCATACGCTTTTAATTTTTGCCCGATTGGCATGTCGTCTCTGTTCTAAGTACAAAAGGTTTCTACAAAATCCATTTCCTAATATTTTTAACATTATTGATATATTTATAGTAGGTCATGTATGATAAATAATATAATTCTTATTTTTTGTTTATAGGATTTCGGTTGGAAACTAGACAAATAGCAGCAAATGTAAATATTTAGTGAAATCAATTAAAATTAAAGCAATTTATTTTTCGGCTGTCACCAACTTATATTAAATACATGTGCATGTATATTTATAAATTTGTTAATATACATATATTGTTTTTAGTTGCGGTTTTAATTCTGGGGGTATCACTGGTGCAGGTTCAAGCTTTCGGGCAACTAAACGCTTAAACCGACCACTGAATTGTTTGCGGAATCCTCTGAAGCCTATTTTATCGGTAGCTACCAACATCTCCTGAAATTATAGTAAAAAAAAAAAAGTAGATTAATATCTAAATAACTGAGAAGGTAAACGACTAGGGCTTCGGCTAATGTATTTTCAGGGTATAATGATTTTGTTTAAATGTATCTAACAGGCAAAAGAAGGCGTGACAGAACCCACAAATTCCGTATGTTTAAGCGCGTCGATTTAGAAGATATAAGAGCTAGAGACAAACTTTTTTAATGTCCGTATATACAGCGCGGATATCGAGTTTATCACCAAAAATCGTTGTACACTTATATTGTATACTATTTCGGTTTTTTATAAAATTTACCCAACCCCTAATGTTATATTAACGACACACACACACACACACACACACACTCGCACACACACACACACGCACACACACACACACACACACACACACACACACACACAAACAAACAAACATATGGACAGACAGACAGACAGACGGACAGGGCCAAATCAACTCAGCTCGTCTCCCTGATCAAGAATATATATACTTTGTGGGGTCTGCCACGCCTCCTTCTCCCYGTTACATACATTTCAACAAAACCATTATACCCTGATTTCCCATTTTCAATGGGTTCAGGGTATAATAAAAAATATTTATAAATTTATTTCAATAAAATGGTATAGAAACATTTGTGAGACGCCACACAGTGGAGGCCTTTGCTCATTTTGCGTTGCAAAAATCATAAGCATTTGACATAGAATCCGTCAAGCTATAAATTACCTAACGCAGAGGGCAATGCGCTTACAGGGTATATCACAGTTTAACCTCAAACATGATCGATAATAAAATATCGGGTGTACTTGTCGATATTTAGAGAAAAACTCGATATGACGGACAGACAGACAGACGGACAGGGCCAAATCGACTCAGCTCGTCGCACTGATCAAGAATATATATACTCTGTGGGATCTGCCACGCCTTCTTCTGCTTGTTACATACATTTCAACAAAAACATTATTCCCTGATTTCCCATTTCAGGGTATCAAAACTGAAATGGCTATATTTCTGGCTATTCTTGAATTTGATCTAGCCGTTTCTAGCAGGTTTGGAAGGTTAATTTAGCATTTTCTTACTCGGAAAAGCTGGCAGCACTGGCTGTTTGGGTGCTAAATGTTTGCGTTTTCGATATTATTTGGTGCGTTGGTGAGCATAATGAAAATGTTTTCACGACGAGCATGCACACACACACTTACAATATGCTACATGTACTATGTGCATTTGTATGCCTGTGTGCGAATCTCTTGTTGCCTGTAGCATTTGCGATGCTCACATTTAAGGGATATCACTTGTAGAAGCATTTGTATGCTTGCGTGCATTAGAGGTGTCAAACTATCGATGGTTCAATGTCTCGATAGTGGACGATAATATCGTTAAAGGTGCGTGATTAATAATTATAATTTTTCTTAGTTTTGTATCATAGCTTGCAAATGATTGTTGATCGTTTTTCGAATACGCTCTGCTTCATAACACAACCGAAAAGATTGTGCAGACGCAATCTCTCTCTGTATTTGATTTGTTTTGCATCGGTTTTGGTCAAGTGCTTCGCATTGACTCATTGGGGTGACGATTTCAAACGAGTGTCGCGTAAAGAGTAATACGATTTTCGCTTACACAAAAACTCTCAGCAAAAGACAGTTTGACTAAAACACTCAACATAAATGATCTTCGTGTGCATGCAAATACATACATACATACAATAGAGGACAAAAGTATTTTGACAACGCATTGCAAAAACTCTAACTTCTTATTTCTTATTTCAATTCATTTAACTCAAGCAAACGATCAGTGCTTGACTTGAGCGAAACGAAAACTGAAATAGCTGTCTCGCTCAGAGTGCGAGCGAGCTAAATTATTCGCAACAAAAACAATTTCTGTCTTTTTTATTGTGTGAGTGAAACATATTTGCAGACAACAAAAATCGATCACTACAATAAAAGCCATAGTTTTTAAGTTTTAGCTTTGAAGTCAATTCAGCTTTAATCTTAAAATGTAATTTCAAAAATTTGAAGTGTTCAAATTTTTAAGGCTAAGAATCACTGTTTTTTATTGCGACTATCGACCACAATCGACCGCTATCGATGATTTGGAAATTACTATCATCCTCAATCGATGGGGCCCACCATCGATAGTTTGGCACCTCTAGTGTGCATGAGTGTATATGCGTGTGTGTATGGCGTGTGCCTACCACAACTTAGAATTTTATGAACGATTTTGAGTTCGAATTGCAGTCTCGTTTATATGCAGAGGAGTCGAAATTTAATATATTTGCGTCGAATTGGATGCAATATGTTTGGCGCCCACCAAATACCGAATTCCAAGAACAGCACCTAAAACTAACTATGAGCTATGACGATGACAGCAGGGTCCTGGACCTGCATGACGTCTTCGGGAGTTGGAAACTTAGTTTTCATAGATGGTAATATGAACAAATATATGTACCTATCCTTTTCAAAGGAGAATTCGGTCCAAAGTGCCGAAAAAGTTGGTCTAGAGGGGCTATCCCTATTTCATCAGGCTAATGACCCAAAACATAAATCGGGTACTGTAAACTCTTGGTTGATATGGAACTGTCCAATGTGGTCGATCCACTAGCCCAGTGGTCATACCTAAACGGTATAGAAAATTTTTGGTCAAAATTGGGCGTGGCCATTCGGAAAAGGTCAATATCCAATAATCACTAAAAATGTTCTCTAGATGATTTATTGTTAGCGGTATAATGAACAAATTAATTTTGTATAGACAAAAAACGTACCGGGTTTATATGATAGATATGAGGCGATGGTGCTTTTGGAGGAAACGTCCACTCTGGATTGTCTTCTACATTTCCATGCTCAACAACTTCAGCAGCAACGCCACTAGTTCGTAGAAATTTTACATGTTGGTTGTCTTCAATAAAATTGTTACAAATTTTATTGGGCTGGGTTTCAGAATTTTCATAACTATTTAGACCCTGATAATCTCCATTGTCCTGATGCTCCTTGACTTCACTTTTTTTGTATTCACTACAGGTTTCGTCGCGTTTTCGTAATTTATTCCGAACAAGTCGCATTGTTAGTGTCCCAGTGTGGCCTTTTACCATTTCAGAATCAGGCGGTTGTATAATTAAACTAACCTCTGTAACAGGAAACCTTCTATGGGCAATTATATAATATATTTAATGTTGAATTGCGTTTTAATTCTGTAGCACAATAAAATTGTTAAGTAGCCAAAACTATACTGATAGCTCCAGAATTTCACCATTCAAAACTCAGTTTGACTAGAATTAATATCGATTTTCTAAATGTGGGCCGACATATTTGGGTGGTGTATACTGCAGACTTGCGTTGATATTGATGTTGATATGCTTAATTATTTATGTTCCCGTCTTATATATTTTTTATTGATACAGCCTTTCGGCTGTAATTATTGCTAACTGTACGCCACGAGATAGTACATTTGGCTTAACAGTTTTGTTCTTCCTATTTTATATTTCGGAACAAGCAGTTCACTATACAATTATTGTTTTCACGATAACTTTCACAATCTTTAGTCACAAATTTGCTATTGCATTTCCTCAACAGATATACATATGTATAAATGTAGTTCCTCGGAACATGAGGTACAAAATGATTGACTTCACTGTAGTCCACACAGAATGTATCTGAGTAAAAGTATAACAATAATTGTCACGTATTCGTAATGCTAGACAATGCACAAACACTGTTAATGATACGTGGGTATTCTCTTTTATTTTCTCATTTTCACTCTCTTATACACCACGCTCAGCCCAGCGGGAATATTGAATTATGTATGTTTCCAGTTTTTTAAATCTCAGCTATTGATAATATTCGGTAGAATCGTACCACATACATATATTTATGTATATATTTTCTCTTCATTTATACATACACTTCAAAAATGGATATTTATTATTGTAAATTTACTTATGTTTGTAAAATGGACATATTTCGAAACTACCGTGGTAATGTCCAAATCACACAGTTATTTCTTACTGTGAGACTGTGTACAATATTTCCCTCTCGCTAAACATGAAACAAAATGACGTCACGTTTGTGTGGAATTTTCATGGCTTTATAGGGTTGCCTACATTCTCAAATTAATCGATTTTGCAACACTTAGATTCAAAGATTACATTAGCAAAATTTAATTCTTAATTATTTTTCGCTA